CCCACTGCCAGTACTAGCCCATTGGGGGCCCTAAACAGGAATATTTTTGGGCCCTCCCAAACACACATTAATAATTAATAGGGGCTCCCTTGAGCGGCTTGGGGCTCTCAGCAATTGCGTAGTCTGCTTGTGCCTAGTGCCGGCTCTCAGCTTACCTACTATCCAGCAGATTTCTCTCCCTGTCCATCTCATCTCAAAGATTCAGGGCAGTGCTAGGTAGCAGGAAGAGATATGTCAGTATGCATCTTTGTACTGCAGCATGCCAGACTACACCTCCGAGATCTACAGGCATGGCTTTGAACAATTTACAAACCAAGGGAACACAGTCTAGACCTCTCACCGTCTGTTCCACTGTGGGTTCTACAATCACTCCACCAGTGTAAGGACCAAAACCTGCACAGGTGTTCCATGCTTGCAGATTCCCTCTACCGTAGTGATAACATCAGATGCTTCACTTTTGGGTTGGAGGGGCACATCTGGGATCTCACAAGGTACAGGGAAAGTGGTCACGACAAGAATAGCTTCTCCATATCAATCTTTTGGAATTGAGAACCATCAAAAATGCTTGTCTACACTGTCTACTACTAATCAAATTGAAATCAGTAAAGATCATGCCAGAAAACGTAGTATGTATGTATTATATCAACCATCAGGGAGGCACATGTTCCTCCATCTCTCTGTGCCAAAGTGATAAAACTCTGGAATTGGTACATAGCCAACCATATAGTCATCTGAGCTTCTTACAGGCCAGGTATTCAGAACACCACGGCAGACAACCTCACCAGATGTTTCTTCCTAAATTACAAGTTCTCCACATAATATTCATAGCCTAGGAGTTCCCGGAGGTTGATCTGTTTGCTATGGCAACCAGTGCAAAATGCATCAGGTATTGCTCTGGAGGGAGGCTTGATCCCCAATCCATCAGAGACATGTTCCTCATCTCATGGGTGAAAGCACTTCTGTATGAACACTGCTACTGTTAAAGGTACTCAACAAGATCAAACAAGATTGATCCAGAGCCTCATTGATTGCACCAATGTGGCTAAGAAGGGTCTGGTATCCCTACTGATCACATCTCGCCCTTTTTGGAAACTTCTGATCAGTCTTCGCCTACTGATGATTACTTCCACTGAATTTCAAAAGGACTTGGACACCTTATTTCCTTGGGCTCCTCTGGAAATTCCAGTTATAGAACTTCAGCTTTAGAGTTGAACTGAAAGGAGAAACAACCTTAACTTTAGTTCTTGATAGCTAATTCTCCTACCTTTAACAGTGTTGAAAACTGGAGTCTCACTTGGCATTAGTGATGAGGGACATCTTTAGTCCTGGGGGGAATGCTGCACCTTGAACTCGGACTTTGGTCAGCAAGGAAATAACTTAGAATTTGGTCAATTTCTAAAATTAGAAATAACGTGTAAATAAAAAACAACCTTTCATTTCATCTTGAACTGTTTTCTTGCTCTTGTGGGTTTGTTAAACTTAGCTTTATGTAAATGTATTTTTTTGTGGATTATCTGTACACTTATACATTTCAAATATATTTTTCTCTACCTTCCCATTGTGTCTTTTAGGGTGCCCTTAGAGAGGGATAATTCAGAAGAATTTTTAAAACGGGAAGCAAGAGCAGCTCAATTAGCGGAAGAAATTGAATCAAGTGCCCAGTACAAAGCTCGGGTTGCCTTGGAAAACGATGACCGGACAGAAGAAGAAAAATATACTGCTGTTCAGAGAAATTCAAGTGAACGAGAAGGACATGGTGTGAACACTAGGTATTTAAAGGGAAAAATACTACTCATAGTTTGTTAAAGATAAATGTAGTACAGTAGTAATTTACTCATTGAGACTTATTTGTCTTTGCCAGTTATTATGGCTGTTTTTAAAAAAGAAAAGACAAATTGTCTTGAGAGTAGGGAAGAAACCGTGTAATCAGTGTATTGAATTCACACAAACTTCAGGAAATAGCAATGTAGGCTCTGCATGTCACATATCAAAGCATCTAAAATGCCCCAAAAAACCTTGAAAATTCAGCATTAAATTATCCAGCGTCCTGCAGGATTATAGAAACCACACTGTGAGGGCTTACATGCAGTGCGTAGCTGTCGATACTATATGTAAGTATTCTTTTTGTTCTGAAATTGAACCATTAAAAGAGTACAAAATTTGAACTAAGAGGTGTAGGATTTACCTTCATTTTGATTGGAGTGGGGAAGGTACATACAAGTAAAGTTTGTTCGTTCTTTGACTGGTCAGATAATTGCTTATTTTCCATCTCTGGCTATAACACTGAAAGGAATTTTCTGTTCCAGGGAAAGCAAGTATGTTCCAACTGGACAACGAAATAGAGATGTTCTGTCCTGGGGAGGAGGCAGACAAAATTCACCAAGGATGGGCCAGTCTGGATCGGGCCCCTCAATTTCAAGATCTGGATCCCATACTTCAGACTTTAGTCCTAATTCTGGAGCAGACCAAAGAGTAGTTAATGGAGGCAAGTATCTCAGTTAAATCAATGAGTCTTAATTGAGTGACTTGTTTCTAAAAATGTGGCAACTATGAAGTTATGTGAAATACTGATCACAAAACCATCATACAACTAAAATAGCAAAAACTGATGTTCCTTTTTCCAAGGATAAGTCAGACTAGTATATAGAGTTCATGGTTTTCACTTTGGTTTAACCTTTTATTGCTATCTGATAATGAACCCTTAAATATTTACTCAACTACATTGTGGGTAGTTTCATGCAGCTGAGAACTTAATTTGTTTACCTTCTGCTAAAACACCTTAAACTTGAAGGTGAAGATGGACCTTTTAGATGACTGATATACGTTTCCGTAGTGTTACATGAAGTCTTGTACGTATTAAATTAGTGTCTATCAGCTTTGTGTTGTGGGTGGGTGTGAGAAGAGTTGAAGTACTGATCTCCAGATGTCAAACTAGTCTCTGGTGTGACTTGGGAAAGAGGCAGCAGTATAAGAAGAAATAGCACTTGGCGCTCTTGTATGAGGACCCAATCCAACTTCCTCTGAAAGCAGTGTAAAGGATCCCATTGATTTCAGTGTGAGTTAGTGTGGCGTGATTAAGATATGCAGTAGGAAGGAAAAACAACTGGGTAGAGAGGGAAGGTCTCCAGAAGTTTTCTCTCCAGATAAATACTCTTGAGTATCTTCGGCTGTGTGTACGTTTGTGTACCTATATATATATCTGTAACTGAGCAAAGTGCAGCACTATTTCCTTTAACAGAGCTAATTGAGTCCTATATGCTGCGAACTGGACGTTCAGTTGTTGGCATGTGTTGCTTATTGAGTTCAGTAATACGCCAGCCTCGTTGGAATACTTTGATTTTTTTAAAAAAACCTAACATTTAAAGATGTGGAGAAATAAAACAGCACATAATACTCAAGTGTGGCGCTCTGGGGAGGAGACCTGGGCAATACCTAGATAAAGGTAAGTGATGTTTACTACTTAAATATTTTTCCTTTAAACGTTCTGATCTGCAGCACTCAACTACTGCCCAAACAGTATAAATTTTGTTTGAAATCTACATTTCGTGCCTGTATTGTTCATTGTATTAGTTTATTGAATGTACATCAGTCAGAAGTTTATGCATTATGTTCTTAAATTATGAAGTTGGTTGCTTTGTTTCAAAAACAAATTTTAAATAAGCCCTCTACAGAAGTGGTAGGGGCACAAATGTCAGACTTCAGACACTGAACACCGCTGTTTTTTGTAAAGATATACTTTCTATAGTTGGTATCGCTCATTGTCATTAAGTTTGATAAGTAATAGCTTGCATAGTCAATACTGTATGTGAATCATTGTATGAGATCCTTTAGTAGCTATTTATGCATCTTATCTAGAGAAATGTGTCCTGAGAAACATGTATATAAACAGGCTAACAGATTAAGCTTTAAGCTTTAACTATCTATTCCTCAGTAGTATTTGTAGATCCTAAATTAACCCTTTGGGGAGCTCACGAGCCATTCAGATATTAAATTTGACCAATCTCGAAGAGGGGAAAACAACCTAACAGGGATTATTCTACCACTTGTAGAAATGAATGAATTTGTCCCCAAAGGGTTAATCATATGAAAAATCATTTTGTCATATTTTACTTTTTTTTTCTGTTTACCTTTTTCCCCCCATAATTTTTCTTTAGTTTTTATACTTTCCTTCATATCATTTGTTCTGTCAGGTGTTCCCTGGCCATCGCCTTGCCCATCTCCTTCCTCTCGCCCACCTTCTCGCTACCAGTCAGGTCCCAACTCTCTTCCACCTCGGGCAGCCACCCCTACAAGGCCGCCCTCCAGGCCCCCCTCGCGGCCGTCCAGGCCCCCGTCTCACCCCTCTGCTCATGGTTCTCCAGCTCCTGTCTCTACTATGCCTAAACGCATGTCTGCAGAAGGTACAATACCACAATTTGTTCATGTTTTTGTTTGTCTTTGTTTAACTCCTTTGTGAGTTTAATTACAAAATTGTTTTTCCTCTTCATTACTTAACCTATAATTTGTGTTTAACTTTAGTTTATCAGACTATTTCTATTAACCTTTTTATTTAAAGAAACTTTACAAAAACAAAATATAAAGCTGTGAAATTTCCCGAGTTGGTATGAAATAAACTCAGCTTTGTAACGCTGCTCAGTGTCTTAACCTAGCAAACGGCAACACACAGGGCCTGGCAGTTTTTTAGAAGACTTTCTTAGGAATGTTATTTTTAGGATTGCTCTAAAAATCTCAAGCATTTTGTCATGTTGTACCACATACAACAGTTAACCAGACTCATTCCAACTGCTTACTCACAGATCCCCAAATCCTGTTTTTGATAAAAGTGCACTGTGAAAAGAGATTAGAATGAGTTACTTTAAAAATGAACCTGTAGAAAATATTGACATAATTGACGCTTACATCAGTGGGGCAGCAGCGTGGCATACCTTTGGTAGCTAACAGTACATATAAAGGATCACATTCTTCAATCTCCTAGTTATACGTGAAGGAGTGTTTGAACTAAATTTATATATGGTGCACTCCAGTATTATGGTGATAGGCACCTCATGAATGTGTGATTCATAGTCAAATCATGTAAAGAAATAGACAGTACTGCATACCAGTGCATTAACTGGAAAGTTGATGGCCCCTCAAAATAGATATTTCAGCAGAAACTTCAGTAAGGGACACAGCAATCTCCGATCAGCTGAATCCATTACTAATATGCCGTGACTTCCCTGCTAAAATCTCAAGATCATATCTTTCAAAGATGATGGTAATAGACATACCCGCAGGAGTTTCCTTCATTGCTTTTGGCTATCATTGCTAGCCTTAGTGACTAAATAAAATCTTGAGAATCCAGCATGCAAGTTCCACTGTTTATTTATTTTTTTTTTTAATCTGCTCTGATTCAACAAGTGTGGAATGAAGCATGTTAGATGGTTCAGGTTTCAACACTCCTCCAGAGGAAGCTAGTAGACTAGTTTGTTTGGCTCAGGTCACAGTAAGCAATATTAAAATGCACATAATTCTTGAATTTAAAATTTCTCAGGAAGTAAATTGGTGCTGCAAAATTTTTTTGTTAAAGGCTAATGAAGCTTGTAACTGCTAGTGAATTCATGCTCCGATACCAAGATGATTGGCAAGTTAGGATTCCTAGATTGATTGGACCAGTAATATTCACCCATGTGTCCAGTTGCCCTGAACCCATGGAACCCCGGTTATGGTCAACACCTATTGTTACTTTATTGTCCTACTAGAGCTTACTGGAATTGCAGCTTAGATCCAGTTGTAAAAATGGATAGTAAACTTAGCTACACTTGCAGTAAGAGAGATATTAGGTATTCATAGTGTGGGGATGTGTTCTTCTTCCCAGGGCCACCACGGATGTCTCCTAAGGCACAACGGCACCCTCGAGGTCACAGAGTCTCTACTGGTAGGGGTACAATTTCAAGTGGCTTAGAATTTGTATCTCATAATGCACCAGGGGAAGCATCTACTTCTACAGTGGCACGAGGCAGCCCATCAGGTGGGACGTGGTCATCAGTTGTCAGTGGGGGTAGGTATAGCTTGGCTTATTGCAGATGGTTTTCCAGGGATGTTTTTAGAATATTAATGTTAAGCAGAATCTTAAACTTCCAGGCAGTTCAGCCTTTGAATAAACATCAGATCTGCTAAATGATTGTATTATTGCCTTAACTTGAAAGGGGTTGTTCCGTCAACTGTTTGCTGCAATTAAACATAATTGAAAGGAAGGAAAATGCCTAGGAGTTAGCTGAAAGGAAGTGTAGTCCTAAGAAAGCTATTGGAAGAGGCGAGTAACAGTGTATAGGCCCCATTCCCACAACTATACCTCAGTAACTGCTGTGTGACTAAATTCATGTGCAGTTGTATATGAACAAGAACCTTGGGTAGAGAGGAAAGTAAGAGTGATAGACCAAGAAAAGTTGGAATTCTACTTAAGGTGAAGCCTTTATAAGGGAATTCAAAATTACATGTTTCTCTTAAAACTGTCCTACGTTTTAAATTGCTTCCTTTCCATTCTTATAAATCAGGATTACTGTGTACAGTCAGTACAAATAGGTCTGTCTCGTTCTGTTCTAGCTCTGAATTCTTTCAATCAGAATTTTCAGTTAACAGCCTCTTAATTGAAGGCCTAGTATTTAAAGCTTATTTTTATGACACTGAATGTCTACTCTAGAGGCTTTTAAACTCTTTTATACTGTGGACTGTGTCTTAGTGAGTTAGCAACAGTCAGCCCCCAACAAGTGAGATACAGTCTGGAACTTGAAGCTTAGCACTGCTAGACCTCTAGAAGATTGTGCAATGGAGACACTGTTTTAATGAAAGAATATGTGAATAGATTGTCATTTTGTAATGCATAGCCACATTTTGATAGACTAAGACTATTTCTTAGACCTGCTGCCTTAAGCTTTCTATTTCAGTACAATTCTGTCACTCTCCTTGGTGATTTTTCTTCTTTCTTTTATTAACTTACAATAGGGCTATTAACATGAAAACAGGATATTTTTTTAGTCCTTTTTCTTTTGTCTCTTGAAGTCATAATCTTCTGGCATCACAGCTAGTTGCTTTCAAGATAATCAATGTCAAAGTAGATTATAATATATGGCGAGGAATAGGCTGGAGGAGCAGGTGGTCTCCTAAAGAATATTTATTCTGTATGCATATATTTCTTCTTAGTTATAGAACTTGTGGGGTGGCAGCAAATTTCATATAGAAGTATCTGTCTCAGTGGAATACTTCAGTTTCCCAGTAGGCATTAATCTCTAAAGAGGAGCATATAAAGCAAGTCATGTGTAAGATACTCATATCCTTCAGTCACTTTTAAAAAAGTGTTTTACATTTGTTTGTATAGCGGGCCACCTCTTTTGCTGTGCCTGAAACTGTGTGTTAATCTGAGCTGTTATGGTTGGACCGATTTGGAATTGCAGCTTCGTTGTAGGACTGCAGGGCAGTGATTGTGTATTGAGGGAATCTTTCTGCAGACAAATCCTACATGTAATCTGAAATGCTGCATTATAAAGAACTAAGAAATGTACCTGAAAGGTAAACAGGTTTTCAATAATTGTATTATGTTGCACTAACTATTTTTAAAGCATGTTCTTAGGCTTCATTTTTCTTTTAAGCACTTAACAGCTATAGGGGCTCAACTATCCTATAACTATTGTTTCTATTTATTCTAGTTCCAAGATTATCCCCTAAAACACACAGGCCTAGGTCACCAAGACAGAGCAGTGTTGGAAGTACTCCAGCTGGGCCAGCTCTGTCCTCTCCGCAAGCTGGTACTATTCCTACTGAATCAGTTGCCATGCCTGTCCCAGCTGCATCTCCCACACCTGCCAGTCCTGCATCCAATAGAGCAGTTACCCCATCCAGTGAAGGTAAACTGTCCTGATACTTTAAATTCTTCAGTTTTAGTCTTAAGTGAAGGGAAAGGATATACTGACCCAAACACTACACTTCTTTCCTATTAGAAACAAAATTTTTCTTCTGTTTTGTGCATTTGATTACATTGTGTTCCACTGTATATAGTCAGTTGAGTGTGGGGGTGGGTATCTGACACAGCAACACTGCTGAAAAACATTTTGATAGGCTAAGGCTATGTCTACACTACCGAGCCTGTGTTCGCATAGCTAGTGTGGCATAGCCCTTACTGTACATGCAGCATACAGCGCCAGAAGGAATTTTTTCTGCTGGTGTAGGAACATCACATCTGGATAACGTTAGCTATGCCAGCAGAAGCACTCTTCTGTCTGCATCTGTGCTGGGGGGGTTTGTTGGCATAGCTGTGTCAGTCACGGTTGTGAGGTGGTTGTTGGTTTTTTTTTTTCATGTCTCTGACTGATATAGCTATGCTAACGCATATTTTAAATGTAGACCAAGCCTAATAAACTTCTCCCCATTCCTCTGTACTTCTCTTAACAGAATGTGTAGCATACAGTTATTGTCATACTTAGTTAAAGGTGACCGGAAAAGATTTTTTTAAAAACTGAATTTGCAGCCTTTTCTTGTGCCCAAAATATCAGCAATATAAAATCAATTTTTTGTTAGCAGAATGCTTGAAGGTCTCAGAACTCCCAAACATCTGTAAAACCTTAATTGAAGAGCCCACGCGGTTCATTTTTCTAACAGTCGCTTTCTTTATCCAAACTGTTTAAATCTTTCACTTGACTGTTGTGAGTTCTTTTCACTAGTTCTCAAGTCACCATAGTCCTTCAGCCCAGGCAGGCCCTGAATTTCTAATGTAAAATGCAATTTTTTTTTCCAGGTTCTCATTAAACATCATAAAGCATTTAAAAAAATTAAGCCTATATTTTTTCCTTTGCAGCTTACCTTTAACAGAATTTTCATAAATGTAAAATGGTTCTTAGCTTCCTCTTCTTCCTCTTATGTTCTCTTCTGGCCTAAAGTTTTCCCTCAAATATTTCTTCCCCTGCAGTTCTTACCATCTTCTTTGAGGTGTGTGTCTATAAATAATATATATATTTGAAAGTAACTTTGAATTGAAATTATATTTCTAGCTAAAGATTCCAGGCTTCAGGACCAGAGGCAGAACTCTGCAGCTGGAAACAAGGAAAATGCTAAGCCAAGTGAGATTTCTCCTAGCTTTCCTAAATCTGAAAACAAAGGTTTGTATCTAAAAGTTCCCTTAAATATTTTTAGCGTAATTTAGGGAATTGTAAACACACATCCCAGTATCAACTAGTGAAGTTAACATCTTATTAGAGTGACTTTTAGGCAGTTGCTTCAGCTTTCTATAGGTAAGAATTTTTGTTCATGCAGCTGTGAAAGTGAACTTTGCAGAGGGATTATTATTCTTTAACCATTCCATCAAAATTAAAATAAAATATGGAAACACTTCTGTTGACTAGTTTTGTAAAGACTTGTTTTTAACCAAGCTTAAATGGACCAGAGTTTCCCTTTTAAGTATTATGTTCATGATACATAAGATTTTTGCTTCTTGGATATTATAGTTCTCATAGTAACAAAAAATAAATGTATGGTTTTGATTCAGGTTTCTTTATAACCTGCTCCGTAGTTGCTCATAGGTCTCAAAAAATTTTCTATGGGGGGAGGGATAGCTCAGTGGTTTGAGCATTGGCCTGCTAAACCCAGGGTTGTGAGTTCGATCCTTGAGGGGGCCATTTAGGGCTCTGGGGCAAAAATCTGTCTCGGGATTAGTCCTGCTTTGAGCAGGGCGTTGGACTAGATGACCTCCTGAGGTCCCTTCCAACCCTGATATTCTGTGATTATTAATTTTTTTCAGTTTAGTCTCTAGTCTTAACATTTTAATATTTATGGCCATATGCAATGTAAACTTTAGGGTTATATTATTGCATTGGCGTCTGACAGAGTGCATTGCAGAGTTCCTTAGCTCTACATCTAGGTTTTCCTGTATCTAGAGTGTGGTGTAGCAAAAACGTTTGGATCTGCCAAAAAATAACCCTGGTTTCAGGGGTAAGGATTTTTGTGTGTTTAAGAATGCAGTTTGTGGAGTTGTGCTGTATAGCTACAATGAACCAGCAGGTTTTTTTTCTTTTTTTTTTTTTTAAAGAAAATAAGCACAAAGATCTACATTAATGTTGCAAATTTAAAATATGAAATGCAGAAGTTATGTTTCCTAGAAATGGCTGAATAATGTGAGTGGAAAAATTAACAACTAATGGTTATTCAGAAAAATTCATTGACCTAGTCAATTATTCAGTCAGCTCTAGTTTTTGTAGTTAACTTGCACACAGGTTGTACTTTGAATTACTAATTAGGCCAAATTGTTTTGTATTAAAGTTAGAACACTTGCATTTCCTTGTTTATTTTAAATTTGTAACTTGATGTTGTATTACGTGTGTGTATGTGTGTTCCTTATTGTGAATTATGGCCTGCTGTCATTCTGTTGTAGGGTTCTAGTAATATAAAGCACAGAACCTGGGTTTTTTGTGTGGTCTCCATAAAAAGATTAACAGTCCTGTACTTCAAATGGTTTAAAAGCCATGGCGCTCTCACAACTAATTTGAGAGTGGGAAAAGCAGAATTGAACAAGACTGCTTCAGTTTGGGGAAACAGGAGTGAGTGGCTGCAGTTTCTTGAGATACAGAGCTGCTTCTACTTCTCTCTCTGCTTTGTTTAGAAACATGGGTAGGAGGTTGATACGTTACTGGATCTTTCCTCTTTAGTACAGCTCAAGTTTCTGAAGGCTGCATTGTAACTAAATTTAAGGATCTCTGCAGATAAAGCACAAAATTTAACTTAAAATCCCCAAAGTGTAATGTATTTAAGGGAGCACTTAGATAACTGATCAATCAGTTCAGCCCTTAGGGCTTTTCAATTTCTCTTATGCAGTGATTTGGATTAGAATTGCCACTGAATGTTTGCTCCCGTTGGAGTAACAACAACTTTCCAAATCAAAGGCATTATCTTTCTTTCATTCTTGGAAACATGATATTTGTGTTACTGACATGACTCCAGTTACTATAAGTTTTGTTTTATGTGGAGTAGGAGTTTGGGTTTTTCATGGGTATATTATGTTCGGCAGGTGTATCTTCAGCTGCTTCAGAACACAGAAAACAGATTGATGATTTAAAGAAATTTAAGAATGACTTTAGGGTAAGTGTCTTTCATGTGGGTGTTGACTAAAAAGAGTTTTATACCGTCCTTTTCCTTTGATGTGCATCTATGTTTTCAATTAAGGAGTTGAGCATATTTATCAATAGGAAAATAGGCCCTTAAATTAATGAGTACATATTAGAATGTCATTCAAACAAACATATTCATATAAGATCATGACACAAGCCAATATAAACAAAGTCAGTGCTGACTCTCCTTTAATCTGTATGTGGTACTTAAGTGACTCAGACTATTGCGCATATGTAAAATGCAGATTATACCATATATGCTTGATCATAAGCCGGTTCGTTTATAAGCCGACCCCTCCCTCCCCCCCCAAGATAGATAAGTAAAAATGGAAATTTTTTATAACCCGTTCATAAGCCAACCCTATAATTCAGGGGGTCAGCAAAATTTGGCTCCCAGGCCATCAGGTGGTCCGAGATGGTTTGTTTACCTCGAGCGTCCACAGGCACAGAGGTAAACCTAAGTAAACAAAGTGTCCCGGCGCGCCAGCTGCTTACCCTGACTGGCTGGGACAGCAACTGGGGGGAGAAGCTGGGAGTCAGGGGAGTAACCCATGTGACCACCCCCCACATGACCCCACCCCTAGCCTGGGACCCCCCCCACTCTCTCCATCCCATCCCTTCCCACCTTATCTGGGGATGGCTAGGGGAGGATGTCTTTGACCTGGCTGGAGTTGATCTGGCAGGCCAGGTGGCGTGGCCGCAGTGAGCTCCGGTGCCAGGGCGGCGCAGCCACAGCCTGCTCTGGGGGGCGAGGCCGAGCGGCACGGCTGCAGCCTGCCAGCCCCGGAGCTGTAGCTGCTTTGGAGGCTGGGGGGAGAGCAGCGTGGCCAGAAGTGGAGAGACTCTGGCCCCACCTCTTCCATTCTGTCTCTGCTGGCTGCGCTGCCTCTCCTTGCTCCCTCTGTTGCGGGAGGGGCTGTGTCCCACCTCTCCCTCTCTATACCCGTTCCCCTAAGCCAACCCCCGTCTCTGGTGCTTCCTTTTTTTCCTAAAAAAAATTGGACTTATGAACGAGTATATACGGTAATTTAGATACTGTCTATTGGAACACTCGTTGGAACCCTTTTGTGTCTCACTGTAAATCGCTAGAGCACTTGGGGCCTGTATAATTAACTGTGATGTAGCTATGGTGCACATCTTCCCTCCCAGAGAACCTCTACATCCCCAAAGCAGCTATGCCGTAATATATCGAATAGTTTGCCTAACTTAAAACATTTAATTGAACCTTTTAGCTATCTGGGGGCAAAAATGGCTTCTTAAATTGCTATCTCATCATTAAGTGTTACTGTTACATTGCATTGAATAGTGTCTAGTACTACTTAGGTGTTGCTGTGATTTGTACCTTCATTAGAAAATGAAAAGGAAACTTCTTCAATCCCGTCAAGTTCGTTCTTTCATCTAAGCCTCCTTAAGTTTATAGATCCATCACATATGTGTGCTTATTTCTGTTTTTAGTGATGAAACCTGCATCTTCTGTTAAAATAATTTCAGGTTCCTACAGCTGAACAGTTTATGGAAATTTTCCTTTTTGATTGCATAAGTATTGTTGGTAGTAATTCATGTGTTTTCTGTATCCCTGCATAGGGATGATATTTATCAAAAGTGTTAACTATTGGTGCTTTCAGTTACAGCCAAGTTCCACCCCAGAGACTGTGGATCAACTGCTAAACAAAAATCGAGAAGGTGAAAAATCCAGAGATGTGATTAAAGAGAAAACAGAATCAAACTCTAAAGAATCTGTCATTGAAACCAGCAGTAATGCGAACTCTAACAGTGGCAGTAGCAAATCAAATAGTCCCAGTATTTCTCCATCAACTAGTAGTAGCTCTGAGCAGAAGCGAGGGCCAGAGGTAACCTCTCAGGGTGTACAGACATCTGGACCTGGAAGTAAACAAGATAAAGAGGATAAAGAAGAGAAGAAAGATACCTCTGAGTAAGTAATTGTGTTCTTCATAAGCAAATCAGGTGTGTTCTGTTTTTAAAATCCCCTACAAAGGGGAGAGCTACTGTTTGAAAAAAATTAACTCTTAGTATTTATATAGGACTTTACATTAATGAATTAATCTTCACAACGCCTCTGAGTTAGGTGGGTAAACATCTGCGTTTTACAAATGGGGAAATCGAGGCAGAAGTTAAATGACTTGGCCAAAGACACACTGCAGGTTGGTGGCCAAGCTAGAACTCTGGTCCTCCTGCTACCTAATCCTGCACTCATTTGTCTAAACGCTGTCCCTTTGTCAATCAGACTAAGCACCATCAAAAATGTGCTTTGTAGAAATAAGTGTAGTAGATGACTTTTTCCTTTTTCTTTCCATATAGTGTGATTAGCCATGTGCCCCTTAGTTTCCCATAAGTCTTCTCAGTTGTAAACCTAATCTGACAATATTTTTATGTTGTGATGGGATTTTAATAACTCTAACAGTTGAACTGTGGAAGACTTCAGGGGAAATGTTTGTGAAGGAATATCTCTGAACTTTAAATCCTTTTGTGTGTTTTTGTGTGTAGGCAAGTTAGGAAATCAACACTTAATCCCAATGCAAAGGAGTTCAACCCTCGATCTTTTGCTCAAGTAAGTTGATAGTTGTATTAAGCGATATTGCATGTGGTGACATACAACCTCTCAAGTAATTGCACAGTAATATTGTTTTTCTTTTGTACACGTGGGTCAAGTACGCTGTATTCTGCTAGTTGAGTCTGAGGGCTGGTCTACACTGGGAATTGACATTGACATAGCTATGTTTTTCAGGGCTGTTTAAAAAAAAAAAAAAAATACCACACACCTGAGAGATTTAGCTGTGCTAACCCAACCCCTGGTGTGGAAGACAGTGCTACTGTCTCTCAAGGAGATAGATTACCTATGCCGATGGGAGAGCCCCTCCCATTGGTGTAAGTAGTGTCTACGCTGAAGCACTAAAGCAGTGCTGCTCTAGCATTTGAAGTGTAGACATACCCTTTGTGTCTCTGACCAATTCTCCTTCATAATTTAACAGTGTACCAGATTAATTCTCAGGGTTTTTAAGAACAGCAATTCGGTACATCAAACCATAACACATTTTGAAAGGGGTTCACTATATTTCAGTAAACAGACTACACCAAATGTGGAGTACTATTTTATTTAATAAAAAAGGGTGTCTTAGATACCAGGTCTGAGTGACCATTTGGGAGGCCATATTATATTTCCTTCAGATCTTCACCACATATCCTCACATCCCCTCCCTCCCCTGTTGTCTAAACTGGTTCTTAATTACATTCTTCTGAACTCTGATGACCGTATTTAACTTAATGGAACTTATTTACAGATAGTCACAAGCCCTCTAGGAAGGTTTTCAAGATTTTGGTCTTGACTGACAACAATATTCTACCTGGAGCTGTTGCCAGCGGGTCCAAAGCCAGTCCACCTTTCCCTTGAAAAGTTTCCTCCTCCTAGTGAGGAAACAGCAGCTGTGAATGTTACGTCCAGTCTACCACAAGGAGGGTCTGCGGCATCTTTGAAAACTGATGCTGCTAGGAAATGTGCTCTTAACCCTTGCCCTTGCCTTCCCTTTCCCCACCAGCAGTGTGCCATTTCTGTAGTGCTCTCCTCCTCTGCTCAAGGAGCAAGCCTTTCTGCTTTGAAGTACTTTGAGTCAGAAAACACTAACTCTAGCACTAGCCTTCAGAGTCTTCAAATCTTGCTAAACTTTTCTTCTTTGTCTTTTTAACTTCACCATGCAATCAGGTGAAAAGAATTTACATGTTTTAAATGCCTGTCTTTAAAGAAGCACAACCTGTTCCATTCCTATCTGACTGCCATGAGCAAACTCTGAGCATAGGTAAAACTGGCATATATGGCATACATGAGTGAACTGTGCACTGACACAGAGTGAACTGTTTCATTTATTTGTAGCCCAAGCCTTCTACTACACCAACCTCACCTCGTCCACAAGCTCAGCCTAGCCCTTCTATGGTGGGTCATCAACAGCCAACTCCTGTGTATACTCAGCCTGTTTGTTTTGCACCAAATATGATGTACCCGGTCCCAGTGAGCCCAGGCGTGCAGGTAAAATAGATTTGTCTAACAGCTTAACTAAATATAATATTCTTGGCACATTTAAGATGATGATTAATAGGAGGTGGGACTTAAAATCAGAAGTAAGCTATTAGTGCCCTGTTGTGCCAGGTGCTGTACAGGGATAGATGTGCTCTGTGATCAATATTTACACCATTATTCAGATGTATGTTTAATATTTATGTAAGCAACTAAAAATTAGAAAACTTCCCCAATTGCCTCTCAGCGTAACTGATATATTGCTTGATTTCTTATAGGTGTTATTGCAGAAGTGGGTTTTGAAGGGACTTCAGTTCATATATACAGGCCTACCCTCATGCTTTCATTTGCCCAAATACTAGTGAAGATAGCGCTGAGGTTTGTGCCTTAGGCTACCAAATATATAGTTGTCTAGCACTCTAAATTCCAGCCTCCCTCATTGTAGAGGCTACATCCTATATGATAGAAAGCTTGAAGTGCTGCATTTGACCGTAAATACGATCCATAAACTTTCTATTGTAGATGTTGTTCAGAGTAGCACATCCAATCACTACTATCCTCAAGAGTGGATTATTGGACATTTTTAAGAGCAGGTTAGACAAACCATCTGTCATGGATGGTCTAGATAATATTTAGTCCTGCCATGAGTGCAGAGGACTGGACCAGATGACCTCTCGAGGTCCCTTCCAATCCTACAATTCTGTGATTTCTACCATGTGGTCTGTAGATGTTTGGACATGCAAACTTAATAATAGTAGCTATAATAGAATGCTATGTATTAGGCAATTGGAAACTTGAGCTGTGCTTACAAGCCTAGAACATTTATTAATCTTCTGGTCCCTTGCCAAAATTTAATGTTTTTAGTCACAATATAAAGACTCAACTAATAGTCTTTCCAATGAAATATTTTTGGGGAGAATGAGAGAAAAAAGGATTACTGCAGTAATGTTGAAGCTATCCTTCTGAAATGTTAAACGAAGGGTGCCTATACTGTATCTGGTAGCTTCCCAAATGCAAGTTAGATCCCACTGTTTTGAATCTACACAAATTCCTGGCTGACAAATAGCTTGTAGTAGGTAAGTCTGTGAGCTTTTCAAATATTCATACCATGAAACGCTAGTCTAGGACAAAAAACCATCAAACATGCAAAATGTTGCAGCACGTTTTCTCTTAGTTTTCTCCTGTAACTAGAATGTGATAGGGTTATTTTTGGTAACTACTAAATAATATACACTATTACCCTTTGAATGGTAATAGCTTTTCAGTGATGTCACATAAAAGAAAATTAAAATGCTAATATTTTAGCATGAAGTTTTAAATTCAAATTAATTATGCAATAGCTTTCCAACCAGTCTTTAAGATCTTTTTTTACTGAGACTCAAGTGAGGTACAACATTCTAATCACTAAAACAATCTATTTTACTGTGTCATCTTAAAATTGAATGTACTTCACTGCTCCTTTTCTATGTCCTTTTTTTCTTTTTTGTATCAGTTGCCTATGTAGTGTCTGCAGTGATTTATTGTTTAAGTATGCAAATATAAAACTTAAAATTCACAGGTAATAAATAAATTAATATGGTCTCAGACAAATCCTAAATAATTAATCTCAGATGCTGGAAAAAGTTACTTGTACAGTTTAAAAAAGGCTCCAAATAGTCATTGGAAACCTCTCTAAATCTAGTAACTTCATAGTTCAGTCTAGTAGCTTCTTTAATATTCATTCCGCATAAGCTAAAATTACAGTTGTAGTCTGCAGTGGCTGAGGAAATGGCAATGAGAGGTTCCCTGGACAAAGCTTTCTAACTTGAGTGCTGAAAGTTAGGTACCTATTGTAAACCACTCTGGGCAGGGATGGTGTATTGTTTTCCCATATGTCTGGAAACACGTGCCTGATTGGGGAATATGGTCTCTGCTGCATTGCAAACAATACATGATTTGTAGTGTTGGTCCCAGGATATGAGAGACACAAGGTGGATGAGGAGTTCTGTGGAGCTGAAAAACTTGTCTCTTACCAACAGAAGTTGGCCCAATAAAAGATACTACCTCACCCAACTTGTCTGTCTTTTAAATCACATGTAGGCATTCAAGTGGGGTTCTGCAGGGATCAGTACTAGGCCTGGGCCCGATGCTGTTCCAGATCATTAATAAAAATATTGGAGTAAATATAAAATCTGTGCTGATGATAAAACTTGCATACGACACAGATTGGCAGAGTGGTAAATGAGGAATGAGTCCAGGGCACATATGATGCAGTTTGGACTGATTGGTAAGATGGGCCCATGTAGACAATGCAATTTAATATAGCCAAATGCATGGTCATACATCTAGGAACAAAGAATGCAGGCCCTACTTGCAGAATAGGGGACTGTATCTTGGAAAGCTGTGACTCTGAAAAGGACTTGGGGGTCATAATGGACAAGCAACTGAACATGAGCTCCTAGTGTGGTGATGTGGCAAAAAGGGCTAATATGATCCTTAATATGTTGAAAAATTAGCACGGGTACAGAAAAGAGCCCCACAAACTTTTTGAGTGATGGAGAAAATGCTTTTACAGTGAGAGACTTAAAGCACAATCTGTTAAGTTTATTTAAAAAAAAATAAAAAAAAAATTGAGAAGTGACTTGATTGCAATGTATAAGGATCTCCATAAGGAGACAATAACAGGTACTAGATGGCTCTTCAGTCTAGCAGAGAAAGGTGGAACAAGAGCCAATGGTTGGAAGCTAAAGCCAGACAAATTCAAATTAAAAATAAGGCAGACATTTTTAACCATTGGAACAAACTACCAACGAAGTGGTGGATTCTCCATCTCTTGATATTTCCAAATCAAAAGTGGTAGATGCCTTTCTGGAAGAATACTTTAGCTACATGCAGATTAGTGGGCTTAATGCAGAGGGTGTCTATGTGAAATTCTCTGGCCTTTGTTATATAGAAGTTTAGACTAGATGATCTAATGGTCTCTTCTGGCCTTAAAATTTATACATTTAAACAGCTGGTAAAACAATTGGTTTTCAGAGGTGTAAAATACCACCCACTTACACTAAAAGAAGCTCTGAAAAATCAGGCAGCACTTGGGTGCCTAAAGTTAGGCTCCTAGACTTCAAAACTTGGGCCTATATTGCGTGTCCTTGACTCCAGAGGAAATGTTTTTGGTCCACAAGTATAAAGAGATTTTTCCAATCATCTGTCCTGCAAACTCAACCTGGAATATGGAAATGAAGCTGGGTTCTTTCTGGCTCATGCCTCATCACCATTGCTAAACCATTTCAGACATGGAACAGTGCAGAATCTGGTTCTGTATGTGAAATTGTTACAACTTGAGTCATCAGTGAGACAGAATAGGATCCAGCTCACTCTTCAGCACCTGTGTTGGCTCTGCTGTAGTAACAAGTAAAAGACAGCGAGAAAAATAAGCCTGTACTAAAATCAGCAGATCCAGATGTACTCTGGATACATGCAGGGACTAGTTCTGAGTAAGAAGGTGCTATTTACAAGTCGTCCTTGGCATCTTCATACTCTTCTGTGTTGGGTAGGTGAGTGTAGTATAGATAACAGTGATCACCTACCTGTAGTCTCTTAACAAGTTTATAAATAGAGCTGGAAAACTAGGGTATGCTAGCTTTTATTTCAGGGTTGACATCACAATGGAGACCTACATATTAGGGAAGCACTGTCCTTTCCAGGCTGTTAATATAATCATTTGTCTTATACCATTATGGGAATAAAAACTGTACAGTTGCTCTTAGGAAAAAAACTAAGAACATTTCTAATTTCAGGGTGGTTCTGAACAGTACTGTTAGATTCAGGAGTGAAAATTCTAAAGCTCATATATTTAAAAACCTGTCCAAAAACATACCGTAACTTCACTGGGTTCTCTTTTGTTTCAGCCTTTGTATCCTATTCCCATGACTCCCATGCCAGTGAACCAAGCCAAGACCTATAGAGCAGGTAAAGGTGAGAATAATACTGCCTGTTTGGTTTTAGACTGCATGTAGCATGAATAGGATAACAGACATGCACATTTTTATCCAGTTCATGTTAATTTATGTCCTTTAATATCAATGTATTTTAAATTGGTACAAATACTTGAAAATCACAATGCAAAAGATAAATACATTGCTTTTGTGTTTAAAAAAAATGCTGTAAGCTTGATCACAGGAGAATTGCTTGTCTTTAAATTCAGTACAGGATAACCAAATATTTGTAAAATTTTTAAAATTTTTGAATTCTTTAATAGCTGACTGTTTCAATCACTAATGTTGTCCTAAATGTTGTTAGTTGACATTGTTAAAGAGGGATTCTTTCTAGCAATTTGCAGCAGAGCACTGAGCTACACCTTAGTAGAATATTTTCTGTATATGGTACTCTTTCCACTAAGTTCTACACTGCTCTGGTGGAAAGGGTTTATTTTCTTACCTCCTTGTTCTACTGGAGCACTATTTAGAATGGTTTGCTGCTAGTCCTTGTATCTCACTGTCCCTTTTCATCCCTCTTGCACCAATAACAGAAGTGATTTAACATAATACTTTTATGGCTAGATACTGTTCTCCAATGAGTGAAAGCTGTTGCTAGATAAACTGGAAAATTTGGTGTGCATGTATGGCTAAGTGCATTATCTGCATTAATACACATCAAGTGAACAGAAAGCAGGAACTGTCTTTTTTGTTATAGCTATGTTTTAGATAATACTCTAATTCTACAATGTTGACAACTCTTGGAAATTTGGTGGCGCTCTTAAAGTCCCAGCTCCTGGAGGCAGTTGATCACGTGAGCATCTCTGCTTTGATTAAAAAAATCAAAGTTTATTGCCCTAATGATTGTGGAGAAAAGCCTGAAAATGAAACAAACAAAAACCCCAGAAGCTAAATCAAAACACAAAATGTGTTTTGTTTATTAAGTATGATTTCTGACCACTTGGGGTTGGTAATACTGATGTTACCAAACATATATTTGAGGTTTTTTTTAAGTCAACCATGCTCCTATTTCTAAGAGATCCAAGGCTATGTAGAGTGAGAGTGTGTGTGTTCAAGCTCTTACAGTGCATATTTAGACTAGATGCAGTCTCTGCTTGTAGCAGTCAGGACTTCTTTGCAGTGCTAGGTAAGAGTTTAGCTCCACTAATGAAAAATTGTGCACGTGCCTTCACTAAGGTTCAGTGGCCACTAGTGTAGCCATTTTCTTTGCTGCTCTTGTTTGACAGATGAGGTGGTCGCTTCATAATATGCAAGTGTTTTCTTGTATGTGTTAAGAGTTACTTTCCTCTATAAAACAGTGCTTCTGTTCTGAACAGCTTCCTTTAGAGTCCCTTTGGTAGTTTTGTGAACCTGGAGCCATACACATTTCTCTTCAACAATCAGGTTCATGAAGAGCTGCTTGTATTTAAATCCCCTGCACTGAAAGCTCCATTTTGTACTGATGAAACTACCTTTTTGCATTTAGAAAGATTTTTAAATTAATTTACAAACTCAGCTTATCTTTCCTCTTCAGAATCATACCCGTGTAATGTACTTCTACAGACCATGGTTAAAGTTGATAGTGAGGATATTCTAGTTGGGCTCAGTAATTTTGAATTAAAACTTTCAGGAAAGACCTGGTTACTTTAGATCTTCCTTCCTAATGTGAAATATTCCTTGCTTTGTAGTACCAAATATGCCACAACAACGCCAAGACCAGCATCATCAGAGCACCATGATGCATCCTGCCTCAGCCGCAGGCCCCCCTATTGTAGCTACACCACCAGCCTATTCAACACAGTATGTTACCTATAGTCCTCAACAGTTCCCTAATCAGCCTCTTGTGCAACATGTGCCACATTATCAGTCTCAGGTAAGACTCCTTCAGTGTGTGGTTGCCTCTTGCTGCATTCGTATTGGAACAGATGTATTATTAAGACTTAATTCTGGAATTCTATGTACTGTATCTTCTGTTACATCATGTAATTGCTACAATTAGTATTCAAATACTGCAGAAATATTGATAATTTGCACTTCACATCATAGCCCTCCACAAACATTAATTTCCACTTAATAGTAAATACAAATCTTAAATACAGAATATCTGTACCTCATCATTAACTACATCCCATGGTGGAACATCTCTTTCAAATGATTTAATTGGATGTAGATTTAAAAGATGCAGTTGCTAAAATAGTTGGTGTGATAAGATGGATGGGATATGGTATAGTTTAAAACGTCTTTTGTTCAATTTAAAGAGACCCTTTGTCAATGTAAGATCGGCAGAGTAGTTCCTTTTGTGGGAGGTATTTCTCATTTTAGGTTTGCAGGAGTTATCTGGATAATGGTGACAGGTATATTTTGAAAAATTCTTGTAGCTAGTGCAAAGCAAGCTGTAGCTTTTCAAATGATCATGAAGTGCCTTTAAGCATGCACTGTACGAGCTTGATTCAAGGGTGTATTTAACTTTTGTACAGACATGGTTTTTAACTAATTGATTTGTCTTCTATTTTTATTGGACACAGCATCCTCATGTTTATAGCCCTGTAATACAGGGTAACACTAGAATGATGGCACCACCAACACATGCACAGCCTGGTTTAGTATCTTCTTCAGCAACACAGTATGGTGCGCATGAGCAGACGCATGCTATGTATGGTAGGAAACGTTTTGTGTTATTTGTAACTTTTTACGTTGTTACATTGTGCAGGGATATATTTACTATTTCAGGCTTCAACCATTGGCATCACAGCCAAAGCTATAACCATAGACCCAGAATGTGGTTCATAAAACTAATAAGCAAGGTATTGCAAACCTGAGTTATTTGATTAGAGTGAAAATAGATCCAAGTATGCTAATTTTAATAAGACACTAGTGTTGGAGATGATGTGCCAGCATGAGAGGCTGCTAAGGAATACCAGCTTAAGCAAGTCTGTCACAGGCTTTTCTTGATGCTGTTAACACTACGTCCTTGACTGTTTCTTCATTATAACAAGGAATGTAGTGTTGTCACAAAACTGACTTCCGTTGCAAAACTTGACTTCTAGTTCTCACAACATTAGCATGATAAAACCAAACCACTGCTTTAATAATGCTAGTAATATACATTAACAGTATACAAAGATTTGTCATCTGAGGAAAATATAATTTCTGTGTGGGCGATCCTCCTTTTCTTGGCAAACCCAAGAATATAAATCCTGTTTTGAACATTTCATGTATAAGTGCTTGCTATATGATTTCAATAACAAATAGAAGTCTCCAAAGTTGTCAGTCTGGCATTTTTCACTAGCACTAACCTCACTGAAATATTTAAGTTAAAACATGAAGTGAGATACCGGTTGAGAAATACAATGCAAAGAATCTCTAAAGCCACATAAACCTGCACTAAAACAATATGTCGTCCAAAGGAAAAATTGGCTGCAAGAACTTGTCACTGAAGACTCAGTCCATGATCTTTAAGGGGGTTTAGGATTTGACACAGATATCAAAACAGAAGGATCATCTCTTGAAAATATGATCATTCAACCGTTTTTGGCTGAGTATTTGATGAAGAAATTTTGTTAGGTCAATCATAATGTTGACCTAGCGTCTGCTAAAGGGTGTCATGTAACTTTAGACACCTTTGCATGGTTTTTTTGGTGACAAAGTTTTGCATTTTTCTCCTTATGGATGAATACTGTCTATTTTGAAAACTTGCAAGCCCAAAAATCTAAAGATTAATCCAGAGTTAAGATTCTGATAACAGAATCTATCATGGCTGTCTTGAAATATCATACTGAAGTCTGATCTTTGCTCGTGTGTGTTAATTCAGGAAAAAATGATGCAGATGCAGACAGCATCACAGTAAAAAGTTCTGATGCTGGATTTGGAGGAAAAGTATATTTCAGCTGAAGTTTCATGTGATACTTTCTTTTCAATTCAGCTATAACTTGTAAAGTTTAAGTAATAGGTCTTTACGCTTACTGGCCCTTGTTGACGTTTGTTAAAGTATTCTGCTCTTTCATGTGCATCTTTAGTTTTTTGAGACATTCATGTAAATGGAGCTTTTATTGTGTGTTTTATGGGATTACTGTCTTGATCGAGTGACTGTTTGAAGACTTTCAGACTTCCTGGTGAAAAGGCAGTCCTCAAAAAATCCTATCTTAAATAAAACTAGATATGAAATAGTCTCTGAAATTTGGTTGTTGATTGCAACTTTCCCCAGCAACTTTATGTTGTATGTCATTCTTACCTGTTACAATTTGGCAGGTCTTTGAAATCATGGTATAGGAGCAATTTTCTAATCAGATATATCAAATTATTTTTCTCTCATGTTCCAACATACCGTAGAACTCTAGTTTTTATATTGTTGGTTTTTCAGCTTCAGTCCATCATCGGTATATATTTCAGACAATCTAATGACACATTTTGGTGGTGTGACAAGAAACCTGAAAACTCTAGATTTTTGTGGTGGTGTGTCCTTCTACCTAAATCCAAGCAGCATTTCTCTTCCAGAACTTGGTCTTGCCAGAAGCTAAATGTTTTCCTGAACTCTTCTGGGTGGTTATCAGTTTGCTTTTCTGAACTGCTGACCCTCTCTTCTTTTTATATCTGAATGCTTGAAATGCTTGCCACAGAAATCTGCCTCAGCCCAGTCTGATGCCAGTGCTACATCATAGGTGGCTTGTAAGGAAGCACTTCTGTTTGGATGATAGCATGTTCTTACCATCTTCAGGCATGTCATCTTTTGCCTGCCTTAACATAAATCAGCTAAACTGTATCTTTAGCCTTCTGGGCTTGCCATCAGGTATTTAGTAGATGACTCCTAATGCTGTAGCTCAAATATAGGCTATTCTTAAATCAAATGTGGCATTTAGTTTGGTTACTTTTCCCACAAATAACTACCTTGTTTCTGGATAATAAAACTTCTGCTTCCATTTATCAATATGTGGCTGTTTGCTTGAGTATCTATTTGTAGCATTTAATAGCTGTGCGGCATGTGGAGTAAATTGCTATAGGGCAACTTGCTGGATGTGTTAACAGTCACTTACATTAGGAGGCGCTAGATATTTTAAGCTTCCCCCAGTCACTTTGGACAGTACTGTAAGCAGATATCTAGAACCACTTGCGTTATAGCACAGTTTTTTTTTCTCCACATTTTATTAATCTCAAGTGTATGCATAGCATCCATATAGTGAATACACCAACATATCCTGGAAATAAACTTCTGATTTGGGTATGTTACTTAATTCTTCAGGAATATTTAGTGATGAATAACTTCCATATGACTATACCATTCCCAGTTAGAAATAACAGCCGCTGCTTTTAATTTCTAGAATAAATTTGCCCAAGTGAGTTCTCAGATTTTACTTCTGGCTTTTTCATTTACACTGTTGGATTTCGCATTGCTATTAAGATGATCTATATTAAGGTCCCCGTGACCTTGAAGCTAATGGGTGCTTTCTTTGTGTTATCAAGTGACTCCCTGCATGAATCACTCCCTTTAATATCAGACTGTTGTTCTACCTGAGTGCTTGTGTTGCAGAATGAAGAAGTCTGAAAGGACAACTGCATTGGGGGGGTGAGGGGGAAGTTAATTGCTTTTAAAGCAGTCTCCTAACATTTTCTTAATCAGTGAGTAAAATCTCTGAAAGCTTCACCTTCCTGATTAGTTTGAGGCAAGTAAAAATCATGACAAACAGTAGTCACTGTTCAGTGAAGAAAATTGCATTATTTGCTGAAAGTTACTTTTTTCCTTCATGGCAGAGGAATCTGAATCCTGAAATGCACGTAACATTCTATACCTGTTAAATCTTTTGGATAGCGAAGGCTAGGATGATGCAAGTTTTCAAGATCCCATTTAGCTAATGCTGTGTAATTGAATGTTTCTGCTAGATGTCTACAATAACAGGCAATTCAGGAGATCTGATTCGTGTCTTTGTCACTGCTCTTGAGTGCCACAATTTTGTCACCATTTCAGTTCCTGAAGTTGAATGTTCTTCAACAGATGGAAAGTAGCTAAACTATATGGGCACCATAAATTAGTTTTACTTCTAAACATATGATGGAGCAACACCCAAATCTGTGTTTTTTCTTAAATCATTGAGAGAATGTTAAACAACTTTCTTTCCTCTTGCTCCTACAAATAAACCCTAAAACTGGACATCATTAACACAAAGACTCTGATATTCACTTGATCTGTCTCTAGGTTTGAAATGTTGGCTCCTTTAAACCGTATATAAATTTTTAGTGTGAAAAGTTTGAAACAGACACTTAGCACTGAAACAAAGCAACAATATATGTATGATTGGCACGTCTACAGAACGAATTCGTTTACTGGTTCTAAAGAGCAATGGCTCAAGCTTTGTACTTTCTGGTAGGTATGGGCTGTCTGTTCTCTCCAGAATCCAGTGATGGGTAATCATGAATTATCAAGTTTTCTATTGACAATTCAAGCTGTGAGGACAAATATATTCCTGTAACAATTAACTCCCACTAGTTTATTGTTTGGATAAATTGTATATGTTTTAGGTAATTGCTGTCCTCTGTAAAACTTCCTTTGTGTGTGTGAAAGATCTGTGTAAAACAAAATTTTGATTTTACACAGATACATTATTTATTCTTTTGCTAGTTCTTGGACCTCTCCCTCTCTCTTCTGCACATGTTTTATTGGTCTGGTGTTCTCTCTAACCTTATCTGTTTTTCTGTCCTAGCAGTAAGTTCTAATATCCTAAATAGTACAATGGTGGGTATGTTATAAATTTCAAAGAGTCTCCAGGGATTAAGAGTGAACCATCTCCAAAGGTGTCTTTTGGAACTGTTAAGACCTCAGTGATACAGCTGAAAAAACAAAAGCCTATTTATTTGTTTACTTTATTGTAACTCTCTTTTAACTCGACCTCTGAGGTTATTGTTGGAGTGTAATAGACGCTCAATATCTGTTCATCTTTATTTTTGTATTAAAGTAAGTAGTGGAGCCCTCAGTGTGACAGTTCAAAAGGAGAGCTTATTGGGGCTGACTTTATTTCAACTTCACTCAGTTGTAAAATTAAGTAAAAATATCCAGCCCTATTAACTAAACAAACAAAAATGATATCTGCATGAACGTACAATCTTCAAAAATAAATGAATGTCGACCTTTCCAGAAGATTGGAAGTATACACATGGCAAGAGGCTAATTTATCTTTCTATCTCCCAAATTCAGCATGTCCCAAAATACCATACAGCAAGGAGACAGGTCCTTCTTTCTACTTTGCCAGTGAGTTGGGTTTTTTGTACTAATTTTGATTGTACAGAAAATAATTTTTAAAGAGTAGATGTTAAAGGAATAGACATGCTGAGGGAACACTTTTTTCTTTGCACCAGGCCAAAATATAGAAAATGTAGGAAAACTCTTTTCAAGCAACAAAGTTGAATGAATGAATGAATTTATTTACAGGGCACCAAAAGCTAAAGTACAATGTACGTGTGACTTGTCTAGAGAATAGATTTGTGTAAATACATTTATGCGTGCCAAGTTGCGTTTCATTTTGTGCAATGAAGTCTTGCATCTAACTAGCCTCTACTGTATCTTGAACTGATGAAGACTTAAAGCTTCTTCTTCCTAGTCTACCACCAAAAAATAGGCATCGCCCTCCTTAAGATCTCCATGAACTCCACTCCTCCCCCATCCCTGCCCAAAATAGGATTTCCAGTTTTCTCAAGGTTGGTCAAATTCCTGAAGGGAAAAAACTCCAGCACTTTACTAGCAATAAAACTCTATTTTGAGTCCTGTCGGGGGGAGAGCACCTTCTGCATCCCCGCAGTAGTCATGGGAGAGATCACTCGGGAATTCTTATTCTGGGGCCTCTGAAGGAGCATGGCAAGCAGCACATCTTGTCATTCCTGTAAAAGTGTAGCTTAGTCTCAGCCCTGTGTCCTTTCATGGGATATGGTGGAGATGGGTTCCCGCTGGCCGGGTAAGCACTACCAGTTACATTAACAGGTCCTTGTGCTTCAGCGTGCTGCCATCCATGTGGTCCTGCAGTGATGTGCTGAGTGGGGGAGTTTCTCTGCACCCTCTTTCTCCAGTGTGTGTGAGCGGGGCCAAATATAACGTGGTTCTGTATACTTAATAAAAAAGGCTAGCAGTCATTGTGGTTAACTGATAAGCTGCATCAGCAGTCTCTAACTGCCAAACAGAGGTGTCAGATAATCCAGGTACTGAACAAAGACATCATAGATTAAGCAAAACGAGTTGAAGAGGAGAATATTGGACTCACAACTTAATTATATGTCAGATAACCTCTGTGTTTCTCTCCTGATAATAGATCCCAGTAACCATACACAGCACATTCCAAAATGGAGTATGTTTTATTCTCTTAGAAATAAATTACAATCTGCTGAGTGAGGTTAAATTTCTATTTGAAGGCTCTACAAAACTTGAGGAAGAAGCTTCAGAAAGAAACCCATGGTGTGCCGGGGTAGGGTCCCTAGTGGAATGGTCATAGAATAATCTCTGGTCATCCCTCCAGAGACCCTAGCCCTCCACAGATAGGCGAGGTGCAATTCCTGGGCCTCTCAACTTGCTCCTGTATTGCAGCAAGCTTGTTAGTGTCTCTATATCTGTTCATAGAAGCAATCTGTTTCATACACCCTCTGTCCTGCGAGTCAGTTCATTCAAGAGAGTATGAAGAACAATATAAATCATGTAATTTGTGTTCTCTAACAGATTTTGGTTTTAAAAGGCTTAGTAGCTTTCATTTTGGCATGCAGAAAATGTGTTTTACAGAATGACTTCCTATGATCGTATTTTGAAAACTCGCTTTGAGCACCTAAGGGTGTTTGCATATCTTGGTTTGGTGCACTGAAATTCCTTTAACAAGTTTCTTCCTTTAATAGATATTCTTTTAAGTGGAGTCCACTGTAAATGTGTAAAAATGATTTTGTATGTGTTTATAACATGAAAAAGACATGCTATATCTCTGCTTCCTACCATTCAAACTGAGGTCTTTAAATGTAGTTATCCTCACCATCTTACTGGGTCTGGCAATAGTCTGGAATCACTTCACTGGTCAGCACCCTGAAGCTATCTAGTAGGTTCTGAGTATCAGTGCATTACTCCTCTGACAGATCCCACTGCATCCATTGTCAGGTTTCCGTTTTTCCCCACAAGAGAAATTTGAACGTCAGAAGTTCAGGGATTGACTTCAGTCTAGGCTAGTGGTTGGTAATGCTGTCTCTGATCTGTGCTGCTCTGATTTTTAATGTCGGACATTTCTGTGGGTTTACAATAGCTGCCTTTCGCCTTTCTTGCTTTGCTCTTGTCAGCAACCTTGACTGTTACTCTTTCCTTCTTGTTTTAGTTGGAATTCAATTCAGTAATTAAAATCCTGCCTGGTATAGTATCTTTGTCCAATCCAATATGGAATTGCTTGTCCTAACTGTGCATCAATATCAAAATGATGGTGTAGTTATAAATAATATAGCCCATATCAAGAAACCACCTGTTTAGAAAGTGATGTAAGTGAAGTGCTCCTAGGAAAGAAGAGAGAGAAGGTGTGTGAGGTAAAATTTTTTTTAATTGGACCAACTTCTGTCGGTGAAAGAGGAAAGCTTTCGTGCTGCAGAGCTCTTCTTAAGGAAAGAAGGCATTTCTGACTTAGGCTATGTCTATACTACAGTCAGGATCGAGGCTCTGAGATCGATCCACCGGCGGTTGATTTAGCGGGTCTAGTGAAGACCCGCCAAATTGACAGCAGATCGCTCTCCAGTTGACCCCTGTACTCTACCCTCCACAAGAAGCGCAAGGTAAGTCGATGGGAGAGTTTCTCCTGTTGACCACCCACGGTGTCGACCAGTTATTCACGTAGCTGGAGTTGCGTAGTGTAGGTTGACTTACCGTGGTAGTGTAGACATAGCCTTAGACTTCTGCTGGAGGCAAACCATGATTATCAGCAGTCCTCAGATGAGCAGAGGTTGCAACACTCTTTGTTAGTTATATGCTTCCATAGAGCTTTTTCAGCATTGTTTCCTGTATTAGTACGACAGCTGGAAAACCATGGCACTGCTGACATGTCAAGGACAACGTAATATGATTTCTGATTACTCTTATCAGTGGTTTTTTTTTTCTTCCCATGTTGATTATAGAAATAAGCATGGAAATATTCACCTAGGGTGATTGATTCTGTGGATGAGCATGTAAAACATTGTTTATAATCAGTTGTCATAATGAAGGTGAGTAGATTGTATCTGGGTTGGTAAATTTTCATGACTATTTTGAATGGGTTCGTGCATCTTACTCATCTGAATTAATCATGTAACACCACAATTTAAATCTCTGTGGAATCTGATTGTGATGTTAAAGACCTGACTTTAGGTGAGAGCACACAGTTACAGCACATAAAACTCAGACTTTTCCTCTCACACATTCTTAGTAATAAAGGGAAGGAAAGGCCTTTAGAAAGTGAAACACTGTATCAGAATCTCTCTTGAATTGATGAGGTATCAGCAGCTCTGTAGAAACTGAGATTCTGTAGAAATAAGTGGGGGGAAAAAACCTCCTAAAGTTAATTTTCCTGAGATCAAGTTGAACTTCTACTATAAATTGGAAAAGGTGGATACATTTTGTTTTTAAATGATCCGCTCCATTATTCCTGAAGCCTTCTTGAGTAAGATGTTTATGGAATCTGGTAAAGCCTCAAGAAAAATAACAGGTGCGTGTTTTTCTTAAATGTTACTATTAAAATATTTGCAGCAGCAGTTGAGTGAGCATTTTAGTACATAATACAGTAACTTCTCACTTAACGTTGTAGTTATGTTCCTGAAAAACATTGTTTCACTTAAAGTTGCATTTAAGTGAATCCAATTTCCCCAAAAAAAGAATGTAAGGGGGGGGGTAGGTTCCAGGGAAATTTTTTTTGCCATATAGTACAGTACTATAGTTGGGAGGTGCCCCCCGCCTTACCCCACACCGGCACAGCCCACTGGCACTGGAGACAGTGAGGCAGGCAAGGAGGCTGAAGGTGCTGTAGGCTAGGAGAAGCACGTTGTGCAGCAGCAGCGACAGCTTCTCCTACTCTGCAAGCACCAGGGGCGGGGGGGCTCAACCCTCGGCCCGCCCACACAACCCCTTTTCCCCAAGCCCCCACCCTTAACCCGCCTCTTCCCTCCCCCTCCTCCCCCTTTACTCTGCACCCGGTGTCCTCACTCCTCCCCTGCCTCCTGCCCCCGGCAATCAGCTGGCTTGCAGCATTCAGGAGGCGGGGGCAGGAGTGAGGACACGCGCTCAGGCTCCCCCTCCCTCCCCTGCCTCCTGAACAGTGCAAGCCAGCTGATTGCCATGGGGAAAGGAGGGAGGAGGTGATGGGGGGGGCTGCCAGCTGAGGACAAAGCAGGCAGCCAAACGATGTTAGAGCAAAGCATTTCACAATTTTAAATGGAGCATGTTCTGTAATTGAGCAGGGACGTAAGATCGAAACAATGTTAAGCTAGAGGACGTTAAGTGGGGAGTTACAGTATATAAACTGACTAGAATAGGTTCTGAAAACAAATACACAGCTGGGAAAATGTAAATACTAGATTTTAAACAAACAAAACTCTCTCAGTTCTCTGCCAAGCTGTGGACATATTGCTTTAGGAGAAGTTACTGAAAACTGGTGTTTTGCTCTTCTCCCACTTCCTTCTGCATGTGAAAATGTTCTAGTAAGTTCTGGACTTGCATAACAAGTTCTTTTCAACATGAAGCCTTCTTGCATAATATAGATACCTGCTTCAGAATACCTCGTATTTGGGTCTTCTCTCAAGCTATGAAACAATAAAAGATGAAGCACAGTAATAGTTTTAGGGAATAATAATTAAATTATTTCAAGGCCTCCAATGAATAAAGAATAGATGTGGGAAACCTTGAATACCCTACAACTTCCAGTACATGCTTATAACAAATCTCCTCAAGAACGGAATGGAACTTTAATAAGGAGGAAGGAAAGAAGTTCTTGGGGCTGAGGCACTAGAATCCGACTTGGGAGAGGTAGGTTAGATTTGGAAAGCCATTTAATCCCTCTGTGCCTCAGTCCCTTATGGTTAAAGTAGAGATACTGTGTCCCTTTTTTGTAGGGATTACTCAGACTAGAGATAGGCCATATAAATATTGGCTCAAGACTAATTGCATAAGGAGATGAAATGGAGAAACTTGAAATTGTAACAGTAAGTTGAGTTTTAATTCTAATGTGTGAATAGGTCAGTTTTCGTACAAGCTTGCAGGCAGTGAAAATACAAAAAAAAATTAGATGGAAATTTGCTGCTGCTGTAAATGGAATTTAAGTGGTAACATTAAATATGAAGTCACTATTTTTCTGCTTGAAAGCATAACAGGATACCATGGCACTGGAGACTAACTCCTGTTTAGGTGCATAGAAACTTCAGAACTTCCAAAAACCCAACTCCTGACTAAAATCATTAATGGTATGTAAAGACTTAATATTGTAACAAGTATGTCATGGTCAAAGTAGCCCTTGGAATACTTTGCAAATTGAAAGCCTTATAGTGTAGTTCGCAAGATTCATCTGTCCATTGAGATCAGAATGCTGTTGTACTGTGTGCTGGAAACACAGGGTCCATGAAGAGTTAATGACACTTTCATGTGAGGTGAGTTCTTGAAGGGTTGAGTGGGCTTCAGGAGGTGGATTATTTATACTGAAGCGAGCTCACCGCTAGCTGAATAAAGTCACTGTTTAGGGTTTTGTAAAGTATTGAGCAAACGTAAGGCAACAGAAGTAATAGCAAACTGGACTGGGAAAGGGTGGGACAGTGGGTGTTTGCTTAGAAGTAATTGGAGGATGTCTGAGGCACTTGATGGAGTGGCAAATTTCTGTGCAGGCCTTGTGGCAGACAGTGCTGCACTTTTATCAAATGGCAGTATGTTTGGTATGTTCTCGCTTTCAATCCCCTGCTTTTTAGGATGAACAGATCAAAGGCCATTCTTTTGTGTGTGTTGTGCGGAGAAGTTCTACATTTCAGAAACCGTAACGGGTTTTGATATAGAAGTTAGAGCAATTAAATCTATTTGCTCTCGGAGCTGGGATTTCCTAGTATAAAAAGAATTGCTGGCAATGAATATATGGATGGTTGTGGCCTTAACTGTAGTCTAACCTAAAACTATATCCCAGATGGGAGCCCCTTTTTTCTTTTTTTCCAATGAACTGCTTCATAAATCTAGAAAGGTGCAGGAGAGGTACATGTAATGTGGCCCTCGGATTCTCCTAATGTTGGCTTTCTTAGCACTTCGGTACAGAACTTTACATGTGTAGCTCTCTGATTTAGCAGGTAATTATAGCTCTGTTTGTTCCTCAAAACAATCGCTTGTTAAATTAGGATACAGGCAGGAGCTGGGTTCAGGACCCAAGTGATAGGTTGCTTCGGACACTCCATTTCTAGCACTGTGGGAAGCAAAGCTAGTCTCCACTTCAGTGCAATGTAGTATTGGACCGAGATGAATGTGAGCTTGAATTAGTAATAGCTTTCCAAGCCACATACACAAGCGGTTGGTAGGTTGTGCATGAGCTTAAACATGTAAGCTCTAAAAGCTACAGATCTAGAGGAAGCATGTAGTCATTTTTTTGGAGACTATTGCTTCATTTAAACTCATTGCTTAGTGCTCTAGTAAAAACCTTTTAGAAGCAATTTAGCGTGGCTTCTCATGCTGCCTACTCTTAAAAATTATTGTTCCTTTCACAAAAGGGCGGGAGCAAACTCTGCATGGCCCATTTTGTAGCCCGATGTGATAGGAATGGCCAAGCAGGGACTTCTTGTTACATTTCACTTTGCGGTAGAAGGATTTCCCTAAGCCTGTGGTGCTGCAGTTAATGAATGCTGCTGCTTGACACGTGTGGCCAGTTTCCTTGCCGTGGAATTCAGAGTCCAGGATTTCCAGCAATGAAGGGTTCTAGAGCAACATCAAAAAGTCAATGGGAATGGTGGTAATGCAAGGGGGCGTCTTGACGTGGGCGCTAGATGTAAGGCTCCAATGAAAGCTGGTTGGCTCTCGGAGAGCCGGAGTTTCCCGGCTCTTCTGGCTGCTGTGTTTGTGTAACTTACAGGCAATCACAGCGTGTATACGTGTGCTGACTGTACTCCAGAAGAGTAGCATGGTGAGGTTAGCCAGGTAAAAGGCCAAAGACTTTGTGGATGGATGGTGGAAATAGAATAAATATTCATGTTTGTGAATTATTTAACTCTGTACAATAGAGAATTTACTTTTTCCAGAACTATAAAATGTAAGAAACTGATTACAAATCCCTTGTAGACTTATCGGTTTGACTAAAATTGCAGATTAAATACTGCTTTAGTGGGTTGATGTATACGGTATCTTTGATTAAATCAAGCTAGGAAAGCTGAACTATTTTATTATGGTTATTTATTGACTTTCCTGCAAAACCATGTAAACTACATGAAAGCAAATATGGATTTTTAGATCCAAGGTAAGATGTGCAGGTAACTACAAGATAAAGTATTTGTAGGGGAAAAAAGACCAATTCACAGTATCCCTGATGTGCTGTAAAATCCTCATATGCAATGTGAATTTGGTGAGATGTATATTCTTTGTCACTTGTCAATTTCCTCCTTTTCCTTCTAGTTTCTACTGGTTCACTTGCTCAGCAATATGCCCACCCAAATGCTACCCTGCATCCACACCCTCCTCATCCGCAGCCTTCTGCTACGCCAACAGGACAGCAGCAAAGTCAACATGCTGGAAGCCACCCTGCTCCCAGTCCAGTGCAGGTAACAGCAAAACTCTAGAGAGCAAACATTTTGGAATATGTCTTGTAGCCCATTGTTTTAGAAAACACTGTACCAGTCTATTACTTCAGCATCAGTTTGCTCTTCATGCAGCTCCAAAGGTATTCTTCTCGACAAATAATCTTTTCTAGTAGTTATGTTCATACTCCCTTGTTCCAGAAATAATGTGGCTTGGAAATATCATTTCCTTATGATTTGCATGTGAATCCAAAGTGAAGTGCAGTCAGCCTGCCTTTATACCAATGTGTGATGATGATAATAAGGGTAAAGGATAGTGAACAATGGCTTAAAAACATTTGTGTAAACAGCAGGGGGTGGTTCTTCCCCCACCCCTGTGCACACAGAAGTCCAGTAATTGGAAGTTACTCATTTGACCCTTTTTGATAAGGAATGGGGGGCAGGTGGCTCAGCAGTGATTTGCGATTCATTAAGGACTGTCACTCCCCTGGTATACCTGGCTGCAAGTTCGGTAGGTGTGGATTTATGGTGTAGAAGTTAGTCACAGACAGAAGTGCTGAAAGATGGCTTTTGGTTTTTACACGATAGCCTCAATTCTGGAGAACACATCAGGTCTGCAGGCTCTAGTGACTTTTTCCCCCCTGTGCAACAGAGTTGGATAATAAGACCTACAGGATCAGAATGTGGCACTTTATTTTGTGTTATTTGTGCAGTGTAGATAGGAAGATCCTTCTAAAATGTTTGATATTAAGTGGAATTTTAAGAATTCATTATTATTTCCATGGAATAAAGATTTTTAATTTCTCCCCTGGAACCAAAACCTGAAACTCACTAATTCTTCCTCCTGTTTGCTTTGCAGCATCACCAGCACCAGGCTGCTCAGGCACTCCACCTGGCAAACCCACAGCAGCAGTCAGCAATGTACCATGCTGGTCTTGCTCCAACCCCCCCTTCCATGACACCAGGCTCCAATACGCAGTCTCCACAAAATAGTTTTCCAACAGCACAACAAACAGTCTTCACTATTCATCCTTCCCATGTTCAGCCTGCATATACCAATCCGCCACACATGGCCCATGTACCCCAGGTAAACAAACTTTAACAACCTTCCAAAGACTGAATGTCCTGTTGCCTCAGAGATCTCGCCTTCGCATGGGGCAGTGGCCTCTTTTTACATCATTTCTCTTGGCCGACTATTTTCTGTGTTGCTTAGGTTTCTGTTTGCACGGTGCCGTTAATTTAGCAGTCTGGCGGCGCCACAGGTACTCAAGAATCTTGCTGCACCCACTTAGTCTAAAATAGCTACTGTGGGGCTCCACTTAGAGCTTTGGAAAAGGTATTTTGTTAAAACACATTTGAATGCAAAGCCAAATCTTTATAAAAAGTCTATTCAATGAGAAATACTCAGGGGTGCTTGGAAACTCCTGAGAGGATTATGAAGAACTTCAGGAGAGGTTAAAATGAGGTGGGAAGGAAAGAGAGTAACCATGTACATTGATGGGTTGTCAATTAAATTGCCATTGAGGATATGGGGGACAGCTCAGTGGGCTGCAGTGGGCTGATCTTGAATACTGTTTTCAGTTCTGGTCACCCCCCTTCAAAACCTATATGGCAAAAATAGAAAAAGGTCCAGGGAAGGGCAGTGAATGTGATTAGAGGTGTGGAGAGACCTGCAACAGAGATTGGCACTATGTAATTTAGAAAACACAGATTAGTGGAAACATAAGGGTACATCAAAGAATGGACACTTAAGCAGGATCATTCCTGTGCAGGCTATTTCTTCCTAACCCCAGGCAGTTAGTGGTTGCTTTATGTCTTAAATCAGAAGGGTTGATACTCCCTTTGAATGTTACCCTGGCTAGTGTAACTCAAGATCTTGTTAATCCAATAGGAGTCTGATCCTTTTCTGAATTCTGCTAAAATCTTTCACTCAATCTCTGGGACAGTCTCTGTTCAAGTTAATTAGGAGATGTGGGAAAAAAAGTTGCTTTTACCATACTTCCTTTTACCCATTCTAAATGTATAGCTTTTTAATTTCAGAGTCTCCCATTGCCTTGCTCTTGTGTTGTGAAGGAACCCCCCAACTGACTTTCTTTAGCCAACTTGTTACAAGGCCTTTTATCTTCCTCCGAAGCATCTGGCCATTGCCTCAAACAGGATATTGGTGTAGGTGGGATATTGATCTGTCTTAGCTTGGTAGTTCTGTATCTGACTAGATTTTGTAGTTCCTTTGGGATCCCCGTAAAGTCCTGCATTTGGACCCTCAGATGTGCCTAATTGCAAGTGACTGCTATATAGACACCTAGAGCACCAAACCTCAAAAGCAGAGGTAATCATTTCACTTGCATGATGGAAAGGAAAAGGTGAACTGTACTGAAGTGTAACTGACAATTGCATACCTGTGTGCCAGCACGCTTTCCGTAAATGGCAGTTAATTGTCTAATCTTACTGGCTCCTTTTTTGCTTTGTTGGCTTCACAAAAAACTACTAAAGTAAATAAGAAGCTGCTTATAGTGCAGAATTAACTAAATGACTGTTAAAGTCTCTGATATTTTTAATGAGCACAATCAGTCTTCTATATCTCTGATCTTGGCTTGTGGAATTCTGTGCTGTTGGTTTCACAGACACAAAAACAACAGGCCTGGACATCTCAAAAGATTTACAAAGTTCCAGATGGCTTCTCAGGGGTGGGGCAGTGCCCCATAAGCCTCTAGTGAAGGAATGATAGCTTCATCTATCTAAAAATCTCTTATGAAATGGCTACCTCAACTGCTTACAGGAAAAACAAATAATAATCCCGAAGCACCAGAGATAGGGATTTCCCAATGCTCAATTCTATCATGAAATTCATTATCACTTTATAGTGGGAATTCCAGACGTGCTCACACCAAGGGATTAAATTAATTTCATTTTAAAGACAATCAGTAACTCAATGCTAATTGAATCCCTGACTCACGAAACTCTGAGCATGTTACAAAAATCAGCACCTAAGCATCAAGTTTTGCAAAGCATCATTACCGTGGCAAAAAAATCGTATATGCATGTCTGTATTGAGCATGGTTGCTATGGTTATAATAGCATTGCTTGGTCAAAGCAAAAATCCTGGTGTTCATGAGGGATGTAATGCATGAGGTTTGGAAGGCATGGCTGTTGAGCACAAACAGGGTCCTTAGTATGATTTGGGAGTTAGTTCTCATGCCTTCAGGGGCTTCTTGGAAGCTATATTGCAACTTGAGGAGTTCTGTTAATCAAAGGCCAGTCTGATTAAGGCTGACAGTGATACAGTAAAAGTAGTGCTTATGGAAAGAGTCGCAGGGTTTAGCCACATGGGAACTTTGCCCTTTCTGCACATCTAACTTGAATGAGTCTGAAGTCCTAGCCAGTGCCTGCTACTGTCTGGAGTGGTGTCTGGCATCCGAGTTTCCTCTGCCAGCTCACTTAAAACACACCCACGACTAAAATGGGCAAAACCAATTTTCTTTTGAAAACTTGTTTGAATCTAAACCTGGACAGTGTTAAATGCTGTCTGGTTTTTGAGGGTCATCTTGTAATTGAGAAATTACTGCTCGAGATTGATAGGGCTTTCACCTAGGAAATATAGATCGTCCCTCTGACTGCCTCCTGTCAGGAAGCATGACTAATAAGTGACAGGAGTTTCCCCACCAACTGAGGAGATACATTACTTGCTTATAAGGTGCTAAGCAGGTGAGACACATGCAGCTCACTTTTCCTTTGGGGATTAATTATGAATGCTTTCAGTACACAAGAACTGTGATATTGTGAGCTTAACTGAAAATAGAACAGATCTGAGCTAGCTGCATTACATAGTGGAATGAAGGGGGATATTACAAATTTTCAACTGTTTATGTGGGAGTGAATATAGCTATAGAGAGAGACTGGACATTAGAAAGACTATGGGCATCTAAGACAGGTGAACGTGATGAAATTGGGAATTGTAGACAGGTGAGAAACCAAGTTAATTTCATTGAGGTGTGAAGTTTTTGTTGGAGACTTTTGCTGGGGAAAAATGTAGAAATCTTTGCCTTTGCTTCATGCTTTTCCTTCCTCCTTACAACCATCCGTTCATCTGAGGTACTGAGAAGGGGATGGTGGCTCTTCTCATGTATGTAAATGCCTATATAAGGGCCTATTATTTGTGTGCAGTGTCCAATTCATTCTCTGCATAGGAAATGCTTCTCAATTCTTAACAAAATGTCTAAAGATTTTTTTAAAATAATATTCCAAAAGTATCCTTTACCAGTGCTCTTAGTCAGCCATGAGCTCCTGCCCAAACTGAGGAGATGTCAGCAAAGCCAAGAATAAGGATTTGACACCTTGTGTTTTAAAATCTGAAACTTACTCCCTATGTGCACATTCTAGCCAATTGACTTAAAATGGAGTAAATCTCCGGATTTACTATACTATTACAGTTGGAGGAATCTTTGCTAGTCATGTGGCCAGGAGTGTTGCCTCCTTGTGACCATTATACTAAAGAGCTCTTTGTTTCAGGCTCATGTACAGTCAGGAATGGTTCCTTCTCACCCAACTGCCCATGCTCCAATGATGCTAATGACGACACAGCCACCTGGTGGTCCCCAAGCCGCCATCGCTCAAAGTGCACTACAGCCCATTCCAGTCTCGACAACAACACATTTCCCCTATATGACGCACCCTTCAGGTGAGGAGTGTGTGCGTGTGAGACCTGCACCTTAACTGAGCCAGGTCAAATTAGTGAGCAAAACAGTTATGAGCCAGGTTTGGGTTAGAAACAAAAAACCATAAGATGTCCTTTTACAGAGGCAAACTGCTGAAGGCGGCAGACAGTATTTCTGCAGTTAGTATTTATATTTTGCTGCTCCAAATGTGAACTTAGTATGCATACAAGATGAACTAAGTTAGCAAAGACTTTATTTCTGTATGGCTGAACCATATTATGCAGACTTCAGTGTGTGTAGGACAATATCCGCCTGCCCTTGTCTTGGGGGATAGAATATCTAGGTGGCTTATGGTGTAATGATCCAAGTTTTGTACATGTAAAATATATAAAGTGTCTTGAGGATAGTTGTAAAAAGATTGCTCCAGGGATACGAGTATTCCTGGCAATTAATGGCTGAAGGCAGATGGCATTTTGAAGTTGACTTTTTATCCCAAGAGCGACAGTTTGCAGTACTGTTGCTTGGGAAAACCAGGCCCTACTTGTTTTGTTGCTCTTTAAATGTAACTCTTACCTAGGTGTCTCAAATACTGTTTTTTCCCCAAGCAGGGTGTGAACTTGTACAGTGAACTAATACCTGGTTTTGTGTGGTGCGGAATGGGTGGGGAAAATAAACATTGCTTTTTTAGGGTTTAGGTAGAAAAACAGCCAAAGGACATCTTAATGCAGGTTTTTTACAGACTTGAGCTAAATAGTTATCCTGTGATTTGATTAACTAGCACATTGTTGTATGGCTTCTCAATCTGCTATTTACACCTGCACTCTCTTTTTTGCAGTACAAGCCCACCACCAACAGCAGTTGTAAGGCTGATCTGGAGTAACAAAGGCTGGACACCTTTTGTAGGCCAAATACCTTCCTTCCACTGCTTCTGCCAACTGGAAGCACAGAAAACTAGAATTTCATTTATTTTGTTTAAAAAAAAAATTGATTTCTTGTAACATCCAATAGGAATGCTAACAGTTCATCTTGCAGTGGGAGAGATTCGGACTGAGTAGAGGCATGTGGGAACTTGTGGGTTATTCCATAATTCCATACACTGTATCAGAGTCCTGCAGGTGCCCAAACTCTGCTTGCTGAAAACTGGAAGTTATTTATTTTTTAATGACCCTTCAAAGTTATGAACTCATCAGCTAGCAAAAGAAGTAACACAAGTGATTCTTGCTGCTATTATCACTAAAAATCAAGACTCGGAGATCCCTTTTACGTCTAATAAACTTGAAACCAGTTCAGTTAAAAAAAAATTCTAATCGTCAAACTGATGGATTATTATTTATAAATCACGTTTGATGAAATGATCACTATTGCAAGACAGTGATGTAACTTTTAAGTTAAGAAAACTTTTACTTTGTAGATAATATAAAATAAAAACTTTAAAAAAATTAAAAATAAAAAAGTTTTAAAAACTGATCAATCTGGTGTGTGTATGTTACTCTTGCCATACTTGCTTCTCTAGCTTTAAGATTCTGTCCAATTTAATGTCAGGTAAAATTGATTTGGCATTATGAAATTTAAATAGTATTTGACGTCAAACCTTTGACACGTTTTTCTATGCAAGACAGTTTGGTATAACCTGTCTTGGTATAACTATACCAAACCTCCTTTGTTTGGTATAGTTATAATCATACATATTATTTCAGTCAAAGTATCCTACTTTAAATGCCTGTTTACCAGAAGCTGGGAATGGGTGACCGGGGATGGATCACTTGATGATTACCTGTTCTGTTCACTCCCTCTGGGGCACCTGGCATTGGCCACTGTCGAAAGACAGGATACTGGGCTAGATGGACCTTTGGTCTGACCCACTATGGCCGTTCTTATGGTCTTAGCGCTCTAGATTCAACTGCGGTAGCTTCGGTCCACAATGTAGCATCTTCTGAAAGAAGCAGAATGGGAAGTCTTGATGCTTGGGACACAAGAGACGATGCAAAGGTCAGTCATGTTGTTTGGTGTTTGGGGAAGCTACTTGCCAGGCTGAGCAAGAAAAAGCTGCAGTAGTGATGGGCAAAATATGAGAGAGAATTATAGAAAAAGACTAGAAGAAAAGTACGTGAATTTCATGTGTTTAGTACTTCACTTGAATGTGAGCTATCTCAGCCCATGTCCGTAACATGTACTATGGTCTTCACCGCTGTTCCTTATGGAGCATATTTGCATCTGCTAACCAAAAGTTAATGGATAGGAGGAGAAAAACAGTGACCTATTAAGGTACAAACCAGTTGTTGCATTTCAAAGGTGAGTTAATAATGTTTGTGTAAATATGTACATATTAAATATAGCTGGCAAAGTATACCAGGGCTCAGTGCAAGATGAGGCTAAATAGTATAGTTAGTCTTGTAAGTCAATCCACTATGTGGACACAGGACAATGAAAATGTCACTGCTCTACAGAAGTAATTTTGACAGGCAGTAGGGGGCATAAAACCATTACATACTAATGGTGTATCTTACTCAACCAAGTGAGTCAATATACCTTGTACGTCTGTTCATCAAATGCTCTATTAATAAAGAACACAGCATAGCTTGTTGAAGTAGATTATCAAACATTCATGTAACTGTGAGACAAGGTGGGGGAGATACAAACTTTCGTTGGCCCAACTTCTGTTGGCAAGAGAGACAAGCTTTCGAGCTTACACAGAGCTCTTCTTCAGGTCTGGGCAACTTACCTGCAGTATCACAGCTAAATACAAAATGAAACAGATTGTTTAGCATGAGTAGTTAACATATTTCAAGGGACCATTCAAGGCAATGTGGCTCCTCCACTTATAGGGAAGAAAGGAAGGGAGAGGAAGTAGCTGGGGGATGGTTAGCAGGTTACAGATTGTTGTAATAAGCCATAAATCCAGTGTCTCTTTTCAGTCCATGATTTTTAGTGTCTAGCAAAGATCTGAATTTAAGCTCCCAGGCTCATCTTTAGAAAGCATTGTGCAGGTTTCCTTTGAGGAGGAAGACTGATAGGTCAGATACAGAAGGATCATTTTGTGAAAAGTGTTCGCTCACAGGTGATGAGATGTTTTTGTCTTTTATCATTTTCCTGTGTGAGTTCATTCAAGAGCGTAATGATTGGTTTCAGCCACATAGTTGTCGTTGGGGCATTTAGTGCACTGGATGAGGTATGCTCGAAAGCTTGTCTCTAGAGACCTGCAAAAATGCAGATATCCGTGTATCTGCGGCTATCTGTGGACCATGTATCTGCATCCGATCTGCCAACAAATTTTGTATCCACACATGGCTCTACTTGTCTGGCTCACCAACAGAAGTTGGTTCTATAAAAAATAAGACCTCTCCCACCTTGGCGCTCTCATATCCTGGGACCAACATGGCTACAACACCACCATACATTCATGTAACTTTCATTTCTAAAAGTGGGGAGTGAGGGCTCTTGTACTCTAGCAGCTATTAGTCCAATATCTAGCAAGTCAGTGAGAGCTTCTGGAGAAAATTAGGCTAAAAGTATTAATATAAGAACAAACATTCTAAAAACAATTTATTTAAGAGCTGATTTATACATTATAGCAAAATTGCATTCAGGAATAAGTTACTTGTACAGTACATACAGAAATAATACATAGAAAATCTACTATACAAGAATTCTTCTGTTGGTGAAAAGTAGAGCTTTGAAATAAATGCACTTGATTCCAACAAAACCCTTGTTGGCCTTAATTTGCCTATGGGATAAAAAGGCAGTGAACAATAGAATGCACTCTCAACTCTTACACTGTGGGCATGTGCTGGCTAAGATAACATCCTGTTCTCATACAAGCTTTTACGTTGAAATATGGAATATTGTACTCAAACTTGTCAGTCAAGACTGAAAGGCCTTATCTGCAGAGTAAAGTAAAACCACATCGGCTCTAAAGGGACCGTTTTCTGTGGTCCAAGGAATAGCAACAGTCAGTCAATATTGCGTCACTGGGGCATAGACTAGGCTGCCTTTTGGATGATGTTGGCTTTGATGCTGGACCTGGACCTTTTCCTCAAAGCTTCGCTGTGGAACGCAGCCTTGAAGGAAAAGGATCAAGGAGGTTGCTGTCGGTGTTTTAGGTACCCTGTTCTTAAATGCAGGGTTAGTCTTTCCCTGTCGGGTTAGCCTATTCAGGGGGCTAGACCGGAATGGTACTTCATATTGATAACACAAACGTCTCCTGCATGGCCTGTCTACCAGGAGGACATGCAAGAGTTGCCTGTAGGCAGTGCCTGTTTGTCAGCAAATAGCAAGTAAGGCTTTTCATAAGAATAAGGGGGGGTAGAGTTGGGGGCAGGAGGGCTCTGTTTCTCTTTTGGCACAGCCAGTAGCTCTATCACAGTTACCTGCTAAACCAGGCTTCTGCCTGGCACTCGGCTAAGCTCGTTGAGGCACTACCTACTGTTATGTCTTCAGTGTGGAGCGCAGCCCTAACTTGCTGCTAGGAAAAGAGAAACGTTTCATTAGCCCAGCCACCTGTTCTTGCTGTGGAAGACAAGAAATGCTGGTCTCCTTTCTGGTGCTAGCCCTTCGACAAGCTGTTTTCAATCCGTCAGCCTCAGAGGTAAGACTTTGGAACCAATCAGATTTAATTTTGTGTGCTCCTTCTCTGGACCCTGACACTCAAGCAGGGGCTGAGAACTTAGCCCAAAGCAGGCAGCTTGCTGGCAGTGTTCCCCGGTATCCGGTAGTCCAGGGGTGAAGGCAACTGTGCTCAGCTGCTAAGGGGAGACATGCGAAAGTTCAGTGCCCCCCTTTGCCTTTTCATACTGCTAAGGCTGTGACTATTGAAAGCAACTGTCTTGCGAACGCTTCATAAATGCAGCTAATTCCTTGGCTTACAAGATGTTGTTAATGTGCTTTTAAACATAAAAAAAATCTTACAATAAAAGTCTACGTTGATACATGCCACTCACCTTCACTAGTTTCTTAGCAAAAAGATCTTCAAGAAGTCCATAAAATTACTTTGAAGTCGCTTATATTTCAAGGGCTTAACATTTTGTCCCCAGGTTTCTACTAGAGCATTGTGTGTCCTGAGTTAGTTATGAAATAGTTTCCCTTCCTCTTCTGTACGGCCAGGACTAAGTCAGACTTGGAAATGGATCACAAGCCAACTACTTCCTAAGCAGGGATGGAATGCTGAGAAGTTCAGCCTCCCATGACCTGGGAAAATAGATTAAAGAACTGACCCTGCAATTATCATTGGTTTTAGGACCCCAATACCAAAGTGAGGGGAAGATGAGAGGCTCTGTTGGCGCAACAGAGGGAAGGACTGGAAGAATATTTGCCCAGTTGGGGAAAGTAGACCTTTGACTGGAGAAGGAAAGGAATGAGATGGGTCAAACACTGCAGGTGTACAATTCTTCAGATTCCATACACAATCCCCTTCAGCGGTGAACTGGAGTGGTCTGCCAGACTTTCATTCTGGATTATCAAGCTTCTTCCTAGCTTTGGCTAACTTGACAGTGAAATTCTAGAAGGAAACAACTGTGACTTTGGTGAAAAATCAGAGCAACTTTCCAACTAGGTACCAGGAGAAGGAACTTATAGTCACATGCTTGGATTTGTTTGCACAGGAGCACTGAATGAATGACAACAAACTTGGTGTATATTGTATTAAATAAGAAAAGCAAGTTCCATTTAGTCCAAAAAGGCGCCTCTGGCAATTAAACATAATACCAAATGTGTGTACGTTTGGTTGCTGGCACTTAAGACTCAGGCCAAAAATCTCAACCCAGAAGCAGCATGGGTGCTTTGTTTACCAACAGGCATGAGAGCTGTGATGAGCATTCCGCCTTCACCCCGCTTTCTGTCACAGCCGCTCTCGTGCCTTGCTCTGATCATGGAATGAGGTGGGCCAAGGCTGCCTTGTCTATGGTTGAATGAATACTCTGAGCATACTTGCCAAAAGTGTGGGTTGGTTAGGGGTCAGTAGGACATGATGGCTTTGAAGCAAGGTTTAGCCTACAAAACAAGCACTTCCTAAGAGCTGCAGAGAGAAGTTGAGACTGTCTTGGTTTTCCTGTC